ACTGTGTTAACCTCTACCACTTCAGCTGGAAGGCTATTCCATGCATCCACTACCCTCTCAGTAAAGTAATACTTCCTGATATTATTTATGATAATTTGTGAACACATTTTGCAGGATGAATATTCAAAATCATGTACTTTGTATGAGGGTCAGATCCAGAACCTAATCTCAGGATTAAGGAAAAATCCTGGTATAATAAACCACTACAGCCCTCTGTAGTGGTTAAGGTGCCAGGAGTGCCATGGCAACCTCCTAGTTTAAGAACAGTTTGACAACTTACCTGGGGTCTGCCAGGATAGGGGCTATAGTAGGGGATTGGGGCAGTAGTGTGTGTGAGTGGTGGAATGTGTGTGTGGAGTACAATGTGTGTGTGAGGGGTGCATTGTATGTGTGTTAGCAGAGAAATGTCTGTGTGAGGGGTGCAGTGTCTATATATTAATATTAAGCAATATTTAAGGTATTTTGGAGAGTCACAAAACCTCAGAAATAAGAACAAATAACACACAAAAGTGCAAACATTATGAAATAGTGTTAAACACTATTTGTACAAGTGCCAACTCACATGGACAAGAGCCCATGCTTGGCTCTTATTCAAGCCCTTTTGAGTTTTAGAGAAACTCCTCCCTTCTTGGATGATCTTTTGGGCCTCAGGGAAAAAGTAATTGGAAATATAGTGTAACATGTAAACCAATAAAGAACCATTCACATGCTTCATAGTCACAATCTAGGCTCTTGAGGATTGTAGAGCATCTGCTTAGGGAATCGCTACCCCTTTTGATGAGAGAGAGAAGGCACAAATACAAGTTTTAAACAAATGTATTGCTGAAAAAATGAGTCTAAAATAAATAAGATAACAATAATACAAAACTCCAATAAAGTCCACATGGTATATCTTTAATAAAACACTTTCCATCTTTTGTAAGTCAATTCTTTTTGAGGTTCTGTGACTCTCCATAAAACCCTAAATATTGCTGAGTGTTAATATCTTTTAATAATTAACACATTAAAAGGTGGATTTGCATCTAGTGTTTTAAAGTGTTTGAAACTTTATGTTGGCACTTCACTTTGAAGAGTGTTTTTATATTTTATTGTATGTTACACTACAAACACTTTTTATATACATGTACCTATTTAATAACAATTCTGCACAAGTACTTTGAATTTTTAATGTCACATTGTTATATTGGTTTTATTGAAGAGCTACACTTCTTTTATGTATTTGGTTGTTTGATGGTGTGATAGGCAGAACTTACATTTTATATTAAGAGACAATTGATTAGCAGTAACAATTTTTAAGCGCCAGTTTGATACTATTGCTTTTTTTTTTTGTGAGTGAATTCTCAGGCCCTCTCTCCCTCCCCTGCTGATTGCCACATTTCATTGCCAGTGGGAGCTCTCTGGTCCGTGAAGGCACACTGCAGAGCTGGCGTTTGGCAACCTTGGAAAGGGAAGAGCGAGGGAAAGCGAGGGAGAGTCTTGGCACTGTTCTCTCAGGTAGTGATGGCAACTGTCCCAATGCCTCCCCTTGATCCACCACTGCTTTGCATAAGATTAAAATTCCATAGCACTGCTTGATACCGAATGCATCTGGCAGAATACTACATTTTCGGTCAGACCAATGAATTCCGACCGGATTTGACTTTAGTAAATAAGAAAATTTCCATTCCGGTTGGAATTTGGCTGGACAAAATTCAATATTATAGTCCACATATGGAACAGTGATTTTCTCCTATTTTACAAGATTCATGGCATACTATATATCACATTTATTTATTTGGATAAATATTGACACCAAAGATAATAACTATTGACACCAAATATTGACACCAAAAGGAACAAAAATGTGACATTTTATTCAATCATGCATTATGAATAGCATCGCATAAAATAAAAAAAAATATTGTTTAACATTACAAAGAATATATTTTAATAACTTTCTCTTCTCTAGATTGTAATTGACATTTTTTTAGCTGATTAAAAAAGAAATAAAGTGCTGTATAAATATAAAATCCATTAAAAAAAAGTTAAACTTTTTTAGCGTCAGCTTTAATTAAAGTTCATAGTTAATTAGGGATAAAAATGAGAATTTTACCAAGAAAGCGTATTTAATTAATTGTTTCAGAATATGAGAATAACACTTGTAAACAGAACAAACTAAAACAGATTACTGTTTATTTTATTACATACCTGTATATAAATTAAGAAATAAAATGTGCATACACTATAAACATAAAAGTAATTTTACGTAAGTGTTTTACACTTCTGCTCAATGTATGAGGCCTTGATCAGGAAGCCACATACCAGCCCACTGAGAAAAGAGCGTAAAAAGCTACACACCTTTTTGCTTTCTTTTCTCATTAGTGTGCTGCTGATGGGCTGAGAGACACACTACAATTTAACAGCGCCGAACAGTCCAAGGCTTCTTGATGGAAGTCTTGGATTTTGAGTGGATGTACAGGGGCAGATCAATTGGTTGCTAACTTGAAAACTCTGTGATTAAACCATTCCTTTCCAGTGAACTGCAGTATTTGGGCTGCAAGGCTGTGCTACTTACAAGTGACAGATTCCTAAAACAATTTGGCTATCAATAGCATCTGTGTATATTAGGCATTTAGAGGTCTATGTGAATGCTTAATCAAGCTGTACAGATCATGATTAATATGGCTGACTGGACATATGATGTCAAACCCAACAACTCCAGCAGCCTCTTTATCTCCACCTGACAAGGATCATCCACATTGAGATCTGTGATTAGCATGCCAAAAAAAAGTCCTTTTTTACTTGCCATATGGCAAAAAGTTTCCAGCCATCTCCCCTTATTTAAATACACTATATATTCCATTAAAAATATAGCAAAACGTCCAGTGTGACAGCCAGAATGGATCAAAACCAACATGTAGTGTCCCTAAATTCACACAAGAATGTCCATTTTTAAGTTTTCTCTAGAAAAAAACAATGCATACTTGTATAAAAAAATTCAACAGTTAATGATTTCATTTACTTAGAGCAAACACTTACATTGTCCTATTCACAATAACGTTTCTAAATATGAAGATGTGTTGCCGAGCCAGTGACAAGTGACTATATTAAAACTAGGCTGACTCCCCAGCAATATTATGTATACAACGTGACAAGCGCTATATGAGACTAATTCAATCACGTCCTCAACATGATTTCTTTTAATTCTTCACCCTGATGTAACATTTAAACTAAGCCCCCAGATGGAAACACAATGTTCTGCGATTTGTGATGCAGAGCCAGCTGTGTAGTCTTTTAATAAAATAAACATGTATATTTTATGCTACAGCATCTTTTCTTATCAATAACTCTGCCAACCTTTTAGAAACAAATAAGGGTGGGTGATTTGCATTATTCATGCTGCTCAAAAGTGCATAATGCACTTTTTTCTTTGCTGGACAAACTATTAAACAGAACAGACCCAGTAAACTATTCTCAAGTAATTTTCAATTCAAGTTTCTTGAGTCTTATGAATTTTAGGAAGAACTCCTTCTTTCAAATACATTTTAATAAAGGCTGTGTCACCTTTGAGTCTCAGAAAATGACTACATTTTGAATTCTTTTTTCTCAGCAATCCTATAGTGTTGGAAAAATCAGTAATAGGTAAGTACTTTTCCTTTGTTGCAAATGCAAAATTCTTTCCCCATTTTCTCACTCCTCTTTATATGTTTCTGCACTCACCAGAAACTGATTTTTTAAAAATAACTTAAATATATTTCCGTCCCTGTATTAACCGTGCAAGTGAAAACATTGCTGTTCTGCAAACTGACAATGTTTGTATTGCAGTTTTTTTAAATGCCTCTAATGGCTGTCACTCAGACAGCCACTAGAGGAGCTTCCACCGAAATAGCAGCGAACAACTCTGCTGTGTCAATCAGATGGACTCATAAAGACCTTCTGATTGGCGCGGCTCAGTGTTTTGCTGCACATGCACACTAGCTTCCTTGTGGAGAGTAGTGCTGCGAAGAAGAAAAGGTAAGTTAGATATCATTTTTACTCCATGCAGGTGGTGGCCAGGGACATCAATGGCCAATAGGGAACTATAGCGTTAGAAACACCCCTTTGTATTCCTAACACTATAGTATTCCTTTTAGGACTGGATTGGGAACCACTGGTATAGTGAACAGTGTTAAAGCTTATTGTTTTTTTTCCACATTTAACACACTTAAAAACTGAATAGAATTAAATTAAATAGAATACAATCAATAGAATACCACTAAAACCATTAAAAGACCACTCTCCATATAACAGCACTTTTTTTTTTAGAGATTTCATTTTACATCCTACAGAGCTATGGAATATTTTAGCATGCATGACTTATTTTGTTGGGTAATGTACATATATAACAATTGGCAAAACTGCAGGTCACTCTAGCTAGTTCTTCTTTTCCACATGGTAATTTGCCACAGAATCACCTACAAGTCAATATGAATTCTTAATACATGTAGGGTATATACACAGGCAGCCAACCCAGAGTACTTGTCATGATATTACACAGTGATTTATTTATTAGATATAAAATGTAAGTATAAAATTATACCATATTTATATAAAACAAGACTTGAAAATCCAAGGCATGAGATATAGGCAAACATGTGACTGTGTTAATTATAAGGAAGAGTTCAGCTGTTAATATTATAACTGAAGGGATTCACGATAAGACTTTTTTTTTTTTAGATATAAACACTTACATAGTGAGACTGTCCAAATGCCAGCCCTGCAATGTGCCTTCACGGACCGGAGGGGAGATCAGAGATATCCCTCACAAGTCCGCAGGCACCCTGCTGGCAGCCGGCAGGGGAGGGAGGGAGAGAGGACCCGGGAGCTCAGCCTGCAACTCCTCCGGGTCCTTCTCTCGCGAGCACAGAGCTTTGCCGTGGTTACCACGGCCAGGGCCGTCTTTAATATTTGCATAGGCCCCCTGGACCCTGTACACCCTCCCCAGGCATGCAATCACGTTATCACCCTTAACACAGTGGCAACCTAAAGTAGAGAGGTGCAAGAATATTTTTTTGGGCCTCCTTATTGCAAGGATGTTTAAAAGGTAGATCCCCATCTGTCGTGCAACTCCAGCAATGCCTTGACAGCTGGGGCTCTACCATTTACCCATGTTTGCAGGTTTGTATTTAGCACTAAGCAGTTTTTGTGTGTTTCAATGTAAACAGGTTTTTGTATGGAATATGTTTGTATGTGGTGTTGGCGTTTGAATGCAAGAATGTATTTATTTGTCCTAATGTTTCAAATACCCCACCTCCTATAGTATGTAAGCTCATTTGAGCAGGGTCCTCTTCAACCTATTGTTCCTGTAAGTTTTCTTGCAATTGTCCTATTTATTGTTACATCCCCCCTCTCAAAATATTGTAAAGCGCTACGGAATCTGTTGGCGCTATATAAATGGCAATAATAATAATAATAATAATAATAATAATAATAATAATAATAATAATGTGTAGTGTTGGTTTTTGAATGCAGGGGTGTGTATACATATAATGTTGGTGTTTAACACAGACGTATTTGTATGTAGTGCTGAAGCTTGTATGCAGGGGTGTATTTGTGTGTAGTGTTAGCGTGTGAATGTTGAGATGTATGCACATATACACACACAAACACACACTTATATATACACACACTGAAACACATGCAGACACACAGATATACACACACACTGACACACAAATACACAACCTGACACATAGATACACAATCTGACACACATTCAGATACACAGACACACATACTAATAACATACAGATACCCCAAAACACACAAAGACAACATACAGATACACACTGACAAGCATACAGACACACTAATACACATCATGACATACACAAAGATACAAACACTGACACACATGCAGTTACACAGACACACATATACACACCTGACACTTGCAGATACACAGATACACACGCAGACTTCATACAGATACACACACATAAATACACACTGACACACACAGATACACACAATGACAACATATAGATACATACACAGATATACAGACACATAGAGACAAACTGACACACAAGCATACACTGATAGACATACTTACACAGACACATAAACTGACAGACATACTGACACATAGACAGACAGATATATACTGAGAGACACACAGACATACTGACACACTGACAGACATGCTGATACATTCACCAACAATAGATTAGTGTTCAAACTCAAGGAAATCGGTCTAGATGAAAATGCTTGTTCTTGGGTAGAACATTGGCTTAAAAACAGAGTACAAAGAGTTGTCATTAATGGTAAATTTTCAAGCTAGACAGAGGTGGCAAGTGGTGTCCCTCAGGGGTCTGTTCTGGGACCCCTTCTATTTAACATGTTTATAAATGATCTTGAAGACCGCATTGAAAGTCATGTTTCAGTGTTTGCAGATGACACAAAACTTTGTAAAACAATACAATGTGAGCAAGATATTACTTTGCTGCAGAGGGATTTAGATAGACTGGGGACTGGGCACTCAAATGGCAGATGAAATTTAATGTTGAAAAATGCAAAGTTATGCACTTCGGCGTAAAGAATACACAAGCAACGTATACCCTTAATGGAAGCGAATTAGGGATAACAACACATGAAAAGGACTTGGGAATTGTTATAGACAACAAACTATGCAACAATGTGCAATGTCAATCAGCAGTGGCCAAGGCCAGTAAGGTATTGTCATGCATAAAAAAGGGCATTCATTCTCGGGACAAGAATATAATTTTGCCTCTTTATAAATCACTGGTAAGACCCCATATTGAATATGCTGTGCAATTTTGGGCACCTGTTCTAAAGAAGGATATTATGGCACTAGAAAAAGTGCAGAGGCGGGCTACAAAATTAATAAAAGGAATGGAACATATAGGCTATGAAGAAAGGTTAACAAATTTAAACCTATTTAGTTTAGAAAAACGTCGCCTGAGAGGGGATATGATAACATTATACAAATATATTCGGGGCCAATACAAACCATTGTGTGGAAATCTATTCACAAACCGGACTTTACATAGGACACGAGGCCATGCGTTTAGACTGGAAGAAAGAAGATTTCGTCTAAGGCAAAGGAAAGGTTTTTTTACTGTAAGAACAATCAGGATGTGGAATTCTCTGCCTGAAGAAGTGGTTTTATCAGAGTCCATACAGATGTTCAAACGGCTACTAGATGCATACTTGCAAGAACAGAATATTCAAGGATATAATCTTTCAATGTAGGGTAATAACTGCTTGATCCAAGGATAAATCTGACTGCCATTCTGGGGTCAAGAAGGAATTTTTTTCCTAGCTTGTTGCAAAATTGTGCTTCAAACTGGGTTTTTTTGCCTTCTTTTGGATCAACAGCAAAAAACAAATGTGAGGTAGGCTGAACTTGATGGACGCAAGTCTCTTTTCAGCTATGTAACTATGTAACTATGTAATATACACACACCGACATACTGACACAAAGAGCCATACTGATACAGACATGCACACACTAACATACATATGGACACACACAGACACATACACTAACAGACATGCTGACACACACACATATACTGACAGACATATTGACACACATTCACAGACACACACACAGGCTGACATGCTGACACATACACTGACAAACATATTGACAGACACATATACATACTGACATACATTCACAGGCATACCGACACACATACTGACAGACATACTGACACACACTGACAGGCATACTAACACATACACTGAAAGACATACTGGCATATAAACATATACTGAGACATTCACAGATACACACACACACATTGACACACACTGGCAGACATACTGACACATACACTGACAGACATAATAACATACAGACATATACTGAGACATTCACAGATACACACACACACACACACACACATTGACACACACTGGCAGACATACTGACACATACACTGACAGATACAGGCAAACATACTGACACATACACTGACAGATACAGGCAGACATACTGACACATACACTGACAGACATAATGACATACAGACATATACTGAGACATTCACAGATATACACACACACACACACTGACAGACATACTGACACACACACAAAATTTACACTATTAAACCCACCCTCCAGTTTCCTACCTTTTCCACTGGTGGCTGAAGCTGTTGGGAGTTGGAGTCTGGCTCGGCCCAGATCCCCTTCGCTCTGCCTCCTCCCTCGTGGCTCCTCTCTTTATGGGAGGCAGTGACTTGCGGTCTTCACTTCCTCCCAGCCGAATGCCGAAAAGCAAGAGGGCCCAGTCGCGCTCTCAAAGCGCCAAAGTGCAAGACTGGACCCCTGCTGACAGAAGCCTCCTTAGTGTGCGGCTGCACCAGCGGGTGGGAGAAATGATTGAGGCCAACGGAGCCTATGGTGCAGCTGTTTCGGGCTCCCCCAGGAGTAACTGGGCCCGGGGCAGCAGCCCTGTTGGCCCTGCGGTAAAGACGGCCCTGACCACGGCAATGCTCCGGATCTCGCGGAATGAACTCTAGCACTGGAGCTGCAGGCTAGAGTTCACTCTCACTACTGCAACCACCAGGGATTCCCCATGGACCACGAGGGATTGAGAAATGTCCCCCCTCCTCCCCCAGTAAAGATAAGAAGGGAGGGGGGACATACATGTATTTATTTTATTTAACACACACACTGCAAACCCCACACACATTGCCCCCCATACACATACTGCCCCACACACACACACACTGCCCACCCATACACACACTGCCCCACACCCACTGCCCCCCATACACACACTGCCCCCACACACACATACACTGCCCCCCCCATACACACATACACTGCCCCACACACACATACACTACCCCACACACAAATACACTACCCATACACACACACACAGCCCCCATACACACATTGTCCACACACATACATACACAGCCCCCATACACACACTGCCCACACACACATACACAGCCCCCATACACACACACTGCCCCCACACACACCATACACATTTACACACACCCCATACACACATTGCCCCACACACACACATAAATTGCCCCACACACACATATACACTGCCCCCACACACACATACACTGCCCACTCATACACACACTGCCCCCACACACAGCCCCCATACACACATTGCCCCCCACACACACACACAGCTCCCCATACACACATTGCCCCACACACACACACATACACAGCCCCCCATACACATATTGCCCCCCACACACACATACATTACTGCTCCTATGCTCTACTACAGCCCCATATCCCAGCAGACCCTAGGTAAGTTGTCAAACTGTTCTTAAATGGTTTGACTACTTACTCTGGGAGAGGGTCCGGCACTCCTGGCACCATAACCACTAGAAGCTGTAGTGGTTATTGTGCATTGATTATTTCTTTAAATAATCTACAAGTGCCCCTCCCAAGATCAGGCTTTGGATCCGCCACTGGGGTGGGGTACAGTTGGAAGCACAGGTAGAATAAAGCGAGCCCCGTTCTGAACCATGCACATATACCTTCTCCTGAAGAATGTGCTGGTGTTTTGAAGGCAGTGAACCTTCATTTCCATTTCTTGTCTCTCAGTGACACTGGCAAAATTTTACTGGTTTTCATTCAGTTGATCATTATTATTTTCATTTGTATAGCAACAATATTTCACTTTGAAATGGGTGGTATAGGAGAGCAACAAGATAATTTGACTAAATAAAAACTGTATTTAATATCACAGTGTATTGGGACTGATTACACCAGTAAGCAGCATTGCTACTTCATTTGTTTCACCAACTTGCATCTCTCATCGTTATTCCAGATGATGCTTTCATTTCATTACTGCCTGGCTTCTAAACACATTATCAAGAAAGTTTAGGATTTTAAAATTATGAACATTGTCTGAACGAAAGTGCACGTTATTGAAATGGATGAAGAGGGCAGAGTTAATGTTGTCCAGGAAACATAGCATATATAAATATGTGGCTCTAAACTAGACTCATTAATCTAGCATACTCCGTAAGGAAAAAATAATTTAACATTTCTCCCTATAATAAAGAAACTCTCAGGGTTAATTACTAAAGGGAGAAATGTGGGAATTTCAAATGTAACCACTAAACTATATTATTATTATTATTATTATTATTATTATTATTATTATTATTATTTATATAAATATATACATGTATTGGTCCTGGTCTAGTAAGCCAGCATGCCGAAAATACCTCAGTAAAAGAATTAAAGAAAAGC